TAATAACTTACATTTATAACATAATATAACATTACGCCTTTTATCCCCAAAGGGGTAGGCAGAAGTGCACATTACGGCACTCAATGCCATTGTACAATGGTAACACCCACTTTTCACTATTTATGTTATGAGTCCCATGTAATAGGGGGTGAGCCTATTGCCATATACCGGGACAATTTCAGACTCCGTGTTACCACAGCGAATTTTTTACAATTACATGATATTTACATTTATAAACCCAAGTTCGATATTCTCCAATAGTAGATGTACTTCAAGTACAGTAATTTTTTATATGACTTCAAAAATAGATGGACGTTCTCAGTGCCACCTGTATGTATGCATACATATGTATACATATACATGTTTGTGCGCGATTATCTCACGATTAGCTGAACCGATTTTGATGCAATTTTCAGAAAAGTGTTCGTTTCACTTTTATTTTAAGGTTCGAAAATCATCGAATGACTGCTCCTAGGTGAGGCGGGAGGGAGTGTCAGACTCTTACTGACTAAACACCACCCCGTTCCTTCTCCTGCACGTCGAGCCGGAGCCCCGGTTACCCGTTAGGTTCTCCGCGACGTTTGTTATACTTAGGAGAAGGTTTTAGTATATTACTTAACCTTTTGAATGCTCCGATATGAAACACAATAGAAAATACATTGTGTCTCGCGAATATATCATAAAAATTCCGTGAAACATACTAAATTAATTATTATGTTTTCGGCTTACTCACGTAACTGTTTGTGACAGCGCGACAGTCGTAGCTTCGCGTGTCGCTGAATGTTGCTCATGAATATGAGCCTCTAATATAGATTGAAACTATGTAGTTAAGTTCCTCATCAAACAATTACGTAAGTAAGTCTAAAACATAATAATCGATCCACCTTTCGATCCTTTCCTATTTTGAAGTTAAAAATAAAACCACACCTATTTTGAACGGCGACCTACCCTTGAATAAAGCGCAATCTATTATTTTTGTTATAAATATAATTTCTATAACATTATTCTTACATTTTGTTTTATTATAACATGTAACATAATTATTATACCAGCATTATTTATAGTATAGGCCGCAAAACGAGAAGACGGATCACCTGATGGTAAGCAATCGGCGCCGAACATGGGCACCCGGAACACCAGAGTACTAGGCCGATGCCGGCCTTTCGGGGCTTTGTGTTCTAAGATGCCTTTTTAGGCCTAATTTATAATATTCTCGACTTTAATTTGGGCCGTACGTTACACATTACAACATGTATATTGACTATGTCAGTTTGTCTATAACATATAACTATGTATGTAATTACTATTATTGGCACTGCGTAGCGTATGTGTGTCTGTTTGTATACAGTTATTGGTAAAATGTTAAGCCTTGCAAGACTGTGTCATTAACATATGGCAATCAATGCAACACTCAAGGAGTGTCGACTAGTCCGTTGTCGATCTCCAGGCCTTCAAATGGAGCCTCTAATTATATCACTTCTGATATTATGCACTTTATTTTCGTATTTCTATCAGTAATTTTGAAAAAATAAGTATTTGTTTTTATAATTACTATCGTAAGACATACTAAATTAACTAAAATCGCGGGTTACTCACGTGAATATACTGAGAAAAGCTCTACTAGTTTCGAACCACAGAGGGGTTCTTCCTCATGAGCAGCGTGAGCTGTCGCGGCGATGTGGCGCAGCTATTGTGTGGTTCGAAACTAGTAGAGCTTTTCTCAGAATATTCACGAGAGTTTTTATTTAAGGGCGGAAAACCATCGAATAACTGCTCCCGCCGGGGTGAGGCGGGAGGGAGTGTCAGACTCTTACTGACTAAAAACCACCCCGTTCCTTCTCCTGCACGTCGAGCTGGAGCCCCGGTAACCTGTTAGGTTCTCCGCGACATATTCACGTGAGTGACCCGCGATTTTAGTTAGTAAAATAAGTATTTCATTATAAGTTAGTAACACAGTCATGCGAGGCTGTTATTGTTTTACTAGTAACTCTATATCTAACTCGTATCGGTAAGAGTATGTATGACCACCAGTACAGTTACTATAACTGTTTTATTTTACAATCTTACGCCCAAATACTGAATGACTACTCAATTTTAACTCGTACTTAAATATCGTGCCATCTCTGTCACTTTACAAAGAATTTGTAGAGACAGAACTATAGTTAAGCGCGACTTAAAGTTGAGTGACGTTTGAGTATTTCAGCGTTAATGTTTTTTATTAAATGTGTGCTGATGAAATGAGTTCTTACGTATCTTTGCTCACTAGATGGTGCTATCTAGCGTATATAGAGAACTAGCTACTTCCGCGCGGTTTCACACGCTCTGCTCAGCTACTATTGGTCGTAGCGTGATGTTTTAGCCTAAAGCCATCCTCGATAAATGCGCTATCCAACACAAAAAGAATTATTCAAATCAGACTTGTAGTTACGGAGATTAGCGCGTTCAAACAAACAAACAAAAAACTAAATCTTCCGCTTTATATATTAGTATAAGATGTACATAACATCACGCCTATTTACCCTCGAAGGGGTAGGCAGAGGTGCACATTACAGTACTTAATGCCACTGTACAATGTAGCACCCACTTTTCGCTATTTATGTTATGAATCTCATGTAATAGGGGTGTGAGCCTATTGCTATATACCGGGCACAATTTCAGACTCCGTGCTACTACTGAGTTTTTTTTTAAAAACCCAGTAATGCTTTGCCCGGCAGTCGTATTTACGACCACTCGACCAACGAGGCAGTATTAAAGATAATGTCTTAGTATCAAACTATATAACAGTTAATATATGATAGCTAGTGATTAGACAAATGAGACTTCACACTGTCGTCATCTAGTGAACACAAACACGTTAGCCTTCGTTTACTGAAATAATGATTCGGCGTACTATTTATATTATATAAGGCAATTAAATATGACCGGTGATCATACTGAAACTACATATTATGTATGTATATATGTTTGTCGTATAAACTTATTTATGCTGTAACTACATAATTTTATGTATGTATATTTATTTATTAGAGAGTTGACATTGACTGGGCAGTACTTTATTTTATTAATAACAGAGCAAAATGATGAATCTATATAACTTTAAAAAAAATGATAATAAATTAGTAATAGACTGTTCCGTTCATCGAGAGTATATCTAAGAAAAGGATATCCGGTACGATTTCCAAATCTATCAAAGTTCTATTAAAGAGATTCTTCTTTAGATCACTGAGAAATATCGAAAAAAGCCTGACAACATTTGCCCAACTCGGAAATCAAAGCTGAGACCCTTTTCTTGACAATCGCGATTGCAGTCATCATACTTATTACATTTTGCTTGACTTTCAAAAGTATCTTGTAATTGATTTGACTTTTACTTTGAATTGAAAAGTGATATTTGACATCTACAATTTTGACAGTATTGCCCTGTCAATGTGAAATTATCTCTATTTATAGACAGCTATTATACCAAGTAACCGCTGGAATGTACAATGTACAATATATTACACAATGTTTTCTATATATACACTTTATATAATATAATATAATCTATGTATATTATATAATAGTAGGGACGATGACTTCTTTCTGTTTTAATGTCCGTCTGGTAGATTATATTAAAACTTTAGACACGTATTTTTTATTTTCTTATAGAAACAAATATTTTCGACTTGACATCGTGTGACGTCACAATATAGTACATTTTATACTGACCTCCCTCTACAAAACTTTAATTCGTTTTACATAAGTATTGTTTTCTTATACGACAAAATAAAAAATATGTGTTTAATACTATTTCATTATCTAAGTAACGGACTAATGGCCGTTAACACACACCACCACAAACTGTTACTTAACTAAGAGTTTCTTAACATGACGCGGCACCTAAAGTAACCCCTTGTTATTAGGTGCCACTTATATTTTGGTGTAAACGGCCATAAACAGATTTTTAAATTTCATGCCTTGTCATCGTACCTATTTATTTAATTTCATTATAATATTATATAACGCTGCCTTTTAGTTTCCCTGTTACTAAAGCGATATATATATAGATTTGAACTTTCATGTATTGCTATGTTTTCAGTTTTGTGTTGTTGTATAAAAATATATTTTTGTTATATAACTTTTATATATATGGTGTTACAAAATAGAATCAAGATTTTATATTGGTTTTAGTATTTGTAACTGAATTACTGATATTTTAACACTAAAATTTTAAAGGAAAATATATATTTCAGCATCGCATGACATCTGAGCCTCGATGTCATACGATACTGTAAATTGAACGACGACGTAGCGGGCTCCTGCTACTAAATTATAAACTTTATCTTAGTAAAGTTCTTATATCGACTATACAATTAATACAGCTGACGCGCGACGTGCAGCGGGTTCGATTCCCGCACGAAACAACTCGTTCTGTCATCCACAAATTGTTGTTCCGGATGTGGGCGTGATCTGTATGCGAAATTGTATGTTTGTAAATGACACGCGTCATAGGAGAAAATACACGATTTAAAATACGCCTTATATTACCCTAAGTACTAGTTGGTAGTCTCGTTGAGTCCTATGTGATAGAGAATGAGCCTATCTCCATACATCGGACGCAAATCCAGACTCCGTGCTACTTAATTACAAAATTTTGGGAAACTTTACGTTCCCCACACTAAGATTTCTTCCTGTGTCGTGTACGTTCACAAACATACAAGTTCACATACACATGACACACAGACCAGAAACAACAATTCGTGGATCACACAAAATGTTGTTCCGTGCGCGAATCGAACCCGTGACACTTTGTACGGCATCGAGTTCCCTAGGTACCGCATCAACCGTGCAGTCGATTTCGTCATTTTTTATATAAAATGACGTATAAAGTCATTCAGTTACATATCCTAATTATCGTGTTATATATTTTGTAACACTATATATATAATATAGATTCTATATATTTGTGTGTATTTCTGTTGTATATTTATATATAATAGTTTGCGTGTACGTTTGTATCGCTACGTGCGCGCGGCAGTGTTGTTGGCGGCGGGCTTCGGGGGGAGGCGGGGGGCGCCACTGTAGCGGATAAAATATTATATTAGATTATTTTTAGACGAACATATGAAGTAGTAGTTAATTAGGCTTTTTCTATGTTACACTAATTAAAATTTGTGTTAAATCAAAATAGGATAATTGAACTATTAATTTCTTAAATAGTGACAGTATAGTTAAATATTACAATTCTCAATCAGATCTGTAAAAGTATCAGAATAACAAATGTTATCAAACATTATCAAATCATTAATGAAACATAGAATAAGCATAATTATACAACTATAGTTATTTATACACCGTGAAATCAATTTAGTTTTCGTCCCGAAGTAAAATGTTACTGTCTCGGTAATACAATAGTTTTACAAAGAAGTAAAATGTTTAAAACAAAAAATAACTGGTGAACCATTGCAGAAAGCAAACTTCGAAAGCGCATACGAACTTATAGTACACTATCAAAACATCGCGCCATATGCCTCGAAGAGGTATTTCTCGTCGGGCGGCACGCGCGATGCGAATAGTGTCTACAAATATACGTCTAGTTTCATGTGCGTATTCCCATGTTTTTTATTAAACTAAAAAAAAAATGACATCTTTATTTCTTTGTTTTTACTTTATACATCGAAGCACTCTTTACGGCAAGTTGTTTAGCCGTAGGACGAAAACGAAATAGATTTCACGGTGTATAAGAAGCTTGATATTATATAAATTCAACTAAAATATATTTGTAACGGATGAATCAAAATAATATAACTAAAAATTCGAGTTCTGTAAATATACTCAGACAAGCTCAACTAGTTTTGAGTCACAGAGGGACTCATCCTCATGAGCAGCGTGCGCGATTCCTCTATGACTCGATACTAGTAGAGCTTTTCGAGCTTAGAGATTTAGTTATTACAAAAACATAAATGAAATAATCAAAAGATTTATTAATAATGTAACTCACGTGTTATTATGTCTCCGCTGCAGTATAGTAGAGTGCGCGGGGCGCAGTAACTCGGGCGGAGGCGCGGGCCGCGGGGGCAGCGGGGGCGGCGCCCCCATCGACCCCGTACTACTGCCCGCACCCGTGGGTGGGGGCGCGGGGGCGGGGGCGCAGGCCGCAGGGGGAGAACCCGCGCATACTGACGACTGGATGTAATAAGGAAAATGTTTAGAAAAATGTAAAAAACAAATATTGAAATCACAGAAAATATGGATTTAGTATGCACGAAATGATGATTATTGAAAAAAAAAAGAATGTTGAACATTGCAGCAAGTAATTCGCCGACGCCCTCTTCTATTCGATATTAACTAAAAGTTACAATAACAGTACCTATTTTATATATTACTTCTAATATTATATTTTTATTCCGAAGTGGATTGATACTGTTCAAGTCGAGACCGAAGAAGACGACATAAACAGAAGATCTATCCTACATTTGTTGCAAAAAAGGGATTTAAGAAGAAAAATTCTAATAGAAAAACTCTGTTTTTGACTACTATGAACATCATTATGTGTATAGCCTATGTATAACGTGTGATATATGAATGTTATATAATTGTGTATGAATGTACTCACGTGCGGGAGCGGAGTGGGCGGCGCGGCGGAGTCCCGGCGCCGCCGCGGGGGCAGCGGGGGCGGGGTGCCGCACGACACCGCTACGGAAACATACAACGTACATCATTACCTAGCTGTCGCCCGCGACTTCGTCCGTAGATATTTTAGATTACGGTCAAGTCATTCGTTTGGGATGTTAATCATCTGAAATCTTCATTGGAGTCTGGATAGCTACTATGTACTAGACAATGAATATAGAACGTAATTCAAGTGTGGGAGAGCCATGCTTCGGCACGAATACCATGGCGTGACAGGAAATCGACGTGAAACAACGCTTGCGTTGTGTGAGTGAGGTTACCGGAGGTACAATTATCCTCCCCCCAATCCCCAACAATCCTCAAATTCCTAACCTCAAAAGGCCGGTAACGCCTCTGGTGTTGCTTACCATCAGGTGATACATATACCGGCTTATGTCATAAAAAATTGTATGAAGTATTCCACTCATTTCATCGGATACTTATATGAAGGTGATGAAATAAGTGCTAAAGTTGCTTGAAAACAAACCAAGTTTTCTTCAATAAAGCTAAGGTATTACTATTTATCACTACATAGTGTAGTATAAAACAATGTCGCTATCCGCCGTCTGTCTGTCCCTATGTATGCTTAAATCTTTAAAACTACGCAACGGATTTTGATTCGGTTTTTTTAATAGATATATTGATTCTTAAGTAAAGTTTATATGTATAATACATGTATATTGCACCCGTGCGAAGCCGGGGCGGGTCGCTAGTAAGCAATACTCGGTATAATAATATGGCGCAGTACTCACGTAGATGCGGCGTGAGCGGCGGGGCGGGCGGGGACGGCGTGGGCGCGCCGCGCCACTCGAACTTGAACGCCACGCCGCCTCTGTGTACCACGCATACATACATACATGCTATATTTATTATATTTCCACATATTTCAGACAAAAACAAATATTTATAAGGGATCATTTATAGGGAACGATCGCCAAGAACAATATTAAATTAACTAACATGAATTGATACTACTTGATTTGATACTACATAATTGACACAATTTAATATTCTGTGATAATTGGGTAGTGTCCAGGGTATCAAAACTAAAAATCTAATCAGTCCGTAAGTTAGATAATGAAAAAAATATAAGACACGATTTTTTTTATTTTCCCGTATTAAGTTGTAATAATTAGATAAAACAGCGTTGAGTTTAGGAGTCGTTACGTCATAACGTGCTACAAAATGTGGCACGCTGTGACGTCACACGATATTTCAAATTAATATATCGTCAAAAGTATTTCTTTTTGTGAGAAAAGAAAAAATACGTGTCTAATGTTTTAATTTAATGTACCAGACGGACATTAAAATAAAATTTTGGAAACTACCCTATTATTGAGAATTTTCTAAAATCCGATAAATCCGCCTTGTCGAATGTACCTTTAGGAAACAGAGAGTACAGTTCCCTAAGATCGGAAAGGGAGGATCCTCCGAAGGTGAGGTGTTCGCGCCTGGCAGGTTTCCTTCCGATCTTCTATCTGTGTTAATTCGCATGTAAACTTCACGTGTGCGATGTAGGGTTTGTGACGTCATCCGTCGATTTGTTTTCATCGATAGTCTATGTGCGTGTCATTTGATATATGTCATGTTTCGCCATAAATCCTTGTTCGACCATTGCGTTTGTGATCACAGAATATTTCGTAATTACAAAACATATTTACCATTTAAACAATAAGCTATAAGTTAATTATTATGTTTTCGCTTTACTCACGTAAATGTTTGACGAGGAACTCGACTAGTTTCAAGCCATACTAGAGGCTCATATTCAGTAGCAGCGCGACAGTCGCCGCGTCGCGGGTCGCGGAATGCTGCTCATGAATATGAGCCTCTAGCATGGCTTGAAACTAGTCGAGTTCCTCGTCAAATAATTACGTGAGTAAGCCGAAATCATAATAATTTATTTAGTATGTCTCACGGAAGTTTTAATAGAAGTCATAAGTTATTATGAGTACGTACCTGTCGGCGGGTGGATGTGGGCTGGCGGGCGGTTGCGGCGCCGGGGACCGCTTCGGGGACACCGCCGGCATCCTGCGGGGGGGATCGTACATTACTCTACACTTCTACACGCAGTTATGGGATACCCAAGGAATTACCTATGATGTTGATCTTAGTAAAATTATACAGACGAAACATTTATAATTTAAACATTAAACTTTTTCTCCAGTAACGAATGGAGTTTCTTGCTCATTCGAATTTACATTTTGGAACGAGCACCTAGCTTCACTGACGGACTGACTGACAGACTATTATTTATTTTGTATTTGTTGACGATTCAACAGTAGTAAATTATAGTTTTAATGAAACAAATGCTTTGATTTTCTCTATTAACATCACGCTAAGACCGCCGGCATACTACAGGACATCAACAAGTTATAATATACGACTATAGTTTATAATTATATCTATGTATATATGTCTACTCTTTTTTAAGAGAAGAAAATCATCGAATCACTTCTCCCGCCATTTTTAAAGGAGGGAAAATCAAATGACTTCTTCCGCCAGGGTGAGGACGGAGAGAGTGTCAGACTCTTACTGATTAAAAACTACCCCGTTCCTACTCCTGCATAGAGGCGAATCCATATGTCTTAAAAAAATATTAAAAAATAATTACTTCCACTAATTGATTTTATGACCAACTTAATTTTAGTATATTTCCAGCAAATTTTTAAGAAATAAGTACCCATGCTACACATACACAATCTCGTACAAATTCATAGAAAACTGTCGTTTTTGACAGTACGAAAAAAGTATTGAATTTGACTAGTTGGCAATACCCAATTTTGTAAATTTGTCAAAGTGAGTGTAGACAAAATTAATAGGTATATAATAAATAACAATATTTACCAGGAAGTCCACGAGTCTATACGTATGTAACACAAAACAGTATTGATCTAAGTCAATAGCTACAGCAACAACTGCGCAGTGTGGAGGTAGCGACGGGACAGACTGACGGACACGCAGACTAGAACCGCGCTAGATAACTGTACAGGGAACGTCAACATGTATTGTGACTTATTAATTATTTTTTTTTATATATATCACTAGCTTTTACCCCCTTTGCTCGCGTTACAAAAGGATAAAAAGTAGCCTATGTGACTATCCATCCGTTCAACTACCTTCAGTTAAAAAATCACGTTAATTAGTACCTCCGTTCTGCCGTTTAAGACAGGCAAACAAACAAATAGCTTTCCGCTCGCGTGGAATTCGGTTATATCGCGCAATTTAGATTTTTCCAATAAGTAGGTAATTCGTTGACTGGTTTAAAATGACATACAGCGCCATCTATATCAATTTTTTATTTTCCCCTCGGAAATATAATTTTTTTCCGGGATAAAAAGTACCCTATTATTTAATCCAGACTTCTAACTTTACGTCTGCAAAATTTCAAAGCAATCGGTCTAGTAGTTACGGCGTGAAAGTGGAACAAATAAACAAACTCACTTTCCGATTTATAATATAAGTAAGGATGGGCCGGTCTTTATCTCGCCTGGTGGTAAGTGATGATTGGATATTATCAATTTTTATACTTGTACGAGCTGTTTGCCCGTACACTGAGATGTGTTTGTTGTATGAAGTATGTTGTCAACGAAGACGGGATGTTCACAGAAATAAACTTAATGTTTTTGTATCCGTTCTTGTATCATTAATTAATTAGTGTGGCTATAAATAACACAATTTTTAATGTCAATATCGCGCACTTGGCAAAATGTTAGTATAGCAGAATAAGTTAAAAAGTGAAACAATTGAAATCATGTGGCGATGCTCGTACAATACTAAACTTGCAACATTATGCTAATATTGGAAACTAGTTTTTTCCAGTGTGGAGACCGAAATATTTTTATATAAGAACATCGGGATAAAAAGTAGCCTACCCTACTACCTGAAAAGTAAATATTCTAATGGTGTAAGAACTCAGTGACAGCCTCGTTGGCCGAGTGGTCGCAAGTGCGACTGCCGGGCAAGGGGTCTCGGGTTCGATTCCCGGGTCTGGCAAAGTAACTGGTTATAAAAAAATCTCAGTAGTAGCACAGAGTCTGGAATTGTGCCCGGTATATGGCAATAGGCTCACCCCCTATTACATGGGACTCATAACATAATCGTGAAAAAGTGGGTGTTACATTGTACAGTGGCATAATGTGCACCTCTGCCTATCCCTTCGGGGATAAGAAGGCGTGATGTTATGTTATGTAAGGACTCACAAAAGACCGACGTGATATGCTTGTGTTGTGTTTCGTTGCGTGAGTGAGATTACCGGAGGCCAATTACCCCTCCTCCCCTTTCCCAATCCCTAAGTCCCCAACAATCCTCAATTTCTAATCACAAAAGGCCAGTAACGCATTTGTAACGCTCCGTAACGAACTCTGGTGTTCCAATGTTTCGCGAACGTGTCGCGGATTCGATTCCCGCACAGAACAACTCTTTGTGTGATCCACAAATTGATATTCCGGATCTATGTGTGATGTGTATACGAACTGGTTTGTTTGTATACACACGACACAGGAGGAAATCCTAGTGGTTTTATAAAAAAAAAGAATAAAAAAATGCTTATATAGAAGCATTGTTTTCGAATGTAAAATGTTACACATCCCTACAATTGCCTCATATTACATAACAGTGGGGCATGTTGTACATTTGCGCGGTAACTCGACACTTGCCATCTGTGCGATACTGCGGTGTATCGGGATATATTTTGGAGGTCGACTTCTACTGGCATTGTATTTGTTCAATGATTAGTTATGTACATTTGTATGCATGTAAGTATGTTTGTTCTAGATCGTTCGAAGGAATTTACTTGATAAATAACTAGCTTCTGCTATCTGCTTCGCTCGTGTTCCCGTAGAATAAAAAGTGATGATTAATGCTCAAACCTCCGTGCGAGAAGACAGTTGCTCAGTAGTGGGTATTTATAAAGTCAAAGTCAAAATCATTTATTTCAATAAGACCAGGAAGGCACTTTTGAATGTCAAAACAAAATATTGTAACATTGAAAAATATATCATTATATCTCACAGTCACCTAAAAATCTTACTATTTCTGCAAAACTAACCTCACTATTCAATACTAAAAAAAAATGTCAGTCTGTCAGCCAGTCCTCTAGTCGCTCTATTTGCTCGTTCCCAAGTGTACATTCCTATGGAGAAGAACGAGCAAGAAACTCCATAGGTTACTCTTTACAATCAGGTTCACAATACAATTCTAGGGTTACATTATAAGCTATTGATGTAATGTGAAATTAAAAATATAATGTAGTTGTTACATACTTGAACAGTTCATGCTTGGGACTGGGTTGCGGCCGGTCGGGCGGCTCCGGGGGAGGCTCGCATGTAGACGACGCTGGAATAACAATATACATATTAATAAACATACATACACATAAATTTAATCAATTACTGCCTCTTTGGCAGAGAGGTCGCCAGTACTACTGCCGGAAAAAGCACAGCTGGGTTTTTAAAAAAGCTAGTATAAAATAACATTGTTAGTAGACTCGTTTTATGTAATAATGTTATTTTTGAAAAATCGCCATTTTTCCATTTAATCGACGTATTGTATGCTTTGTAACGAAGACACTTCTATAGATTCGTGAACCTACTTTTTTAAATTTTAAAATGATTTAAGTAATTATAAATAATTTAAAATAATACTCACGTATATATGAATGTGAGGGGGAGGACGGTCGACGTGGCGGCGCGGGGGGACGCTCTGGCTCCCCGCGGGGGAGTAAGGGGGGAAGTTGCTCCTGTTGGAGGATAATACAAACTTAGTTATCATAGTGAATTGTTATCAAACGTCATTACATCACGAATGCCGGAATACTGAAACGTTACTCAATTTTAAGTCGTGCTTAATTATCGTGCCATCTCTGTCATTTTACAAAGAATTTGTAGAGACAGATACTTAAGCACGACTCAAAATTGAGTAGCGTTTGAGTATTCCGACAAAGGTCTCTTGTCTTTGGCGAGGTTCACTAGGGTGCCCTAGCGACTAGAGGGCTCGTACACAATACTGCGATGCGACGTCACATCGCAAACATGTGCGAGCTCCCTCTACGCATCGCAAGAACTTGCGAATTGATTCGCATCGCGCATCAAAATCTTATCTTCCCAAAATCTTTGTTTCTTTTTCCTGTATCTCCTAAGCAATAACAGAAGTGCACACTTCTTTTAACGATCCATGTCATGACCTAGTATTCAATTAAAAATACGTTTAGTACGGTTGACGGTCGTCGAAGGAATGGCCACCCTGGAAGACGCCTTGTCGCCCGAAATCGCATCGCAGCAATAGGGATGATGACAGGGTATGAAAATTAAAAATCTAATTAGTCCGTCAGTTAGGTAATGAAAAAATATTAGAACGAATCAAAGTTTAGGAGTGGGAGCTAAAACGTTATTTCTACGTTTAGAGTGTACTTAGAAGTGACGTCACGCGACATTTTAAATCAATACATCGTCGAAATTATTAGTTTCTGTAAGAAATTAAAAAATACGTGTCTAATAATTTAAAATAATCTACCAGACGGACATTAAAATAAAAATTAGGCATCTAGTCTATTCGCATCGTAATTTTCTGCGTCACGAATTCGCATCGCATCGCAGTTTTGTGTACGAGCCCAGAGTCAGGTCGACCCTCAGGTCCAACGTTAAAGAGCAATAAGGACTGTCGATAGAAATAGTAACCTCACGTCGGATACTGGTGCCCCGTAGAATCAGTTAAAGGATTCCAATAGACTTACTTCTTGTGACTACAATAAAAAATTCATCTCGTTACACGTTGTATTGTGGGTATGTTTTTATAATAACTAAATTAATAATTAACCGCCGCGTAGGTCACCGGTGACCCACGTTAGCGGAGGATTTGCCTTCAACAGTTTTCTGTCGTCAGTCAAAGGCTTAACTAAAAATCGCGAGTTACTCACATGAATATACTTAGAAAAGCTACTAGTTTCGAACCACAGGGGGGCTCGCGGTCGTGGCGATGTCACGTAGCGTATCGCCGCGAGAGCTTTCCTCATTATATTCATGTGAGTAACTCGCGAACTTTAGTTAATTTTGTATTATGGACGTCGTAGTTCTAGTAGTTTCAGCAGTCAATCAGTCAGTGAGTGAGTGAGTGAGGGAGGGAGGGAGTGAGTGGGTGAGTGATGGAGTGAGTGAGTGAGTGAGTGAAGGGGTGAGTGAGTGAGTGGGTGAGTGAGTGAGTGAGTGAGCGAGGGAGGGAGTGAGTGAGTGAGAGTGAGTGAGTGAGAGTGAGTGAGTGAGAGTGAGTGAGTGCGAGTGAGTGAGTGAGTGGGTGAGTGATGGAGTGAGTGAGCGAGTGAGTGAGTGAAGGGGTGAGTGAGTGAGTGAGTGAGTCAGTGAGTGAATGAATGAATCAGAAGTAAGTATGTCAGTCAGTCAGTAATGAACGGTGTATGCATACTGACCGGGTCAGGTCTCCGCGGCGCGGTGTGTGTCCTGGTGGAGTAGAAGAGGTCGGCGTCCACGATGGGGTTCCGGGGGGACAGAGTCCTACGCTCACACGACGGCCATTGTCTGGAACAACATAATATGATATCACACATTTTTATTCCCGAAGGGGTAGGCAGAGGTGCACATTACAGCACTTAATGCCACTGTACAATGTAACACCTACTTTTCACTATTTATTTTATGAGTCCCATGTAATAGGGGGTGAGCCTATTGCCATATACCAGGCACAATTCCAGACTCCGTGCTACTACTGTGATTTTTTTTAAAAACCAATAGGTAATACTTTGCCCAACCCGGAAATCGAACCCGAGACCCCTTGCCCGGCAGTCGCACTTGCGACCACTCGGCCAATGAAGCCAATTCAATATCACAACATTCCAATAATCTTAACTTCCAAATAAACCACAGACTAAATATTTGACAGTTAATAACCAATCGCGCGAAGCGATACAAATTCAAAATTAAAGAAACCAATTTCTTTACACGTATATTCATAAGCATGTAGCAAAATGCGGATTTTTCAATATTAGAAACAGACATTATGATTTTCTTTATCTACTCAATGTATGATACTCACCGGTCATGTCGCGGCGAATGTCTGTCTCGCGGGGACGGGGGTTCGTCTCTTGTGCTGTTTCTAATTAAACAATACAAATGTGTTAATGTTAAGGGCCAATTTTACAGGCTTTTTCCGGACAAGTTCGCCACAATTTCTGGAAACTATAACTGCAGGTTCTACAGTAGATACAACCATGCAAACACCGGAACACTGAAGTCCAACGTCCCAGGGACATGGACAATTATTTTGTATTTCTTATAGGGTATATGCCCCCCCTCGGGAAGAGTAGTGTTCTTAAATATATACGTAGAGAATTAAGTTTTCGGTTTACTCACGTATAAGGAAAACAAGACAGTTCGTCTCTGAGACGTTGGACAACAAACAAACAATTTATTTTAGTATTAATTATTTTAAATAAAGCGTTGCCCCATTTTAGGATTTTCTCTTGTGTCATAGGTGTAACAAATATACAAGTTCACATACACATCACACACAGATCCGTAACAACAATCTGTGGATTACACAAAGAGTTGTTCCGTGCGGGATTCGAACTCGCGACACGTTACGTGGCAGTGGCTTGCCCAGCCACCGCACTAGCCGTGTCGTCAAATAATAAGTGTGAACATCAAATGTAACGTGAGTAAATAGTAAACAGAATGAATTGTATGTGTGAGGCAAGTAATAATCCAAGCGACAGTAGTAGGCAGTGGTACGTACCTGCCGGGCTTGTTCTTGTCGAAGAACAGCAGCTGCGAGAGTTGCGCCAGCGGGGCGCGCTCCCCGCGGGGACTCACCAGCTCCGCGCGGCTGCACGACACTGGGGGACACGTGGATACATTCATCATCATCATCATCATCATCATCAACAGCCGGAAGACGTCCACTGCTGGACAAAGGCCTCCCACTTAGCCCTCCACGTCGAACGACAACTCGCCACCCGCATCCACTGGCTCCCCGCAACTCTGGCGATATCGTCGGTCCACCTAGCGGGAGGCCTGCCCACGCTTCGTCTTCCGGTCCGTAGTCTCCACTCAAGGACTTTCCTGGCCCATCTGCCGTCAGTCCTTCGAGCGACGTGGCCTGCCCATTGCCACTTCAGACTGCAGATTTTGCGAGCTATGTCGGTAACTCTTGTTCTTTGGCGAATCTCCATATTTCGGACTTTGTCGCGCAAAGAAACCCCGAGCATAGCTCTCTCCATCGCACGCTGAGCGACTTTGAGCTTCTCCAGAAGGCCAGAGGTCAGGGACCACGTCTCGGTACCATACGTCATCACCGGCAACACACACTGGTTGAACATCCTGGTCTTTAGGCACTGAGGGATTTTCGATGAGAAGATTTCGCGTAACTTCCCGAACGCTGCCCATCCAAGTTGGATTCTTCGGGCGACCTCTTTGTCGAAATTGGACCTACCTAGCTGTATAATCTGCCCTAAGTATGTGTAGTGGTCTACAACTTCGAGGATATCGTTCCCAACGATGACCGGTACAGGTGCAACATGGACGTTTGACATGATTTTGGTCTTATCCATGTTCATTTTAAGACCCACCTGTTGGGAGACGATATCGAGGTCGCTGAGCATGGTGTTTAAATCCTCCAGCGACTCCGCCATGATGACTACATCATCGGCGAAGCGGAGGTGTGTGATGTATTCGCCATTGATATTGATGCCCAGTCCACTCCAGTTTAAAAGCTTGAAAACGTCCTCCAATGCGTTGGTGAACAGTTTCGGAGAAATCACGTCTCCCTGTCTCACGCCTTTCTGCAATTGGATTGGTTCCGTGCTATCTTCCTGGAGTCGGATGCGCATGGTGGCGTTTCTATACAAACACTTTAGCACCTCGATATATCTGTAGTCGATATGGCATCGCTGGAGAGACTGCAGCACCGCCCAGGTCTCGATCGAATCAAAGGCTTTTTCATAGTCCACAAACGCCAAGCATAGTGGCAAGTTATACTCCTCAGTCTTCTGTATAACTTGCCGCAGCGTATGAATGTGGTCTATGGTGCTAAAGCCTTTCCGGAACCCGGCTTGTTCGGGAGGCTGGAAGTCATCAAACCTGCGTTCGAGACGGTTCGTGATGACCCTAGAAAACAGCTTATATACATGGCTCAGAAGCGAGATGGGTCTATAGTTCTTCAACAAAGAGTTGTCACCCTTCCTGAAGAACAGAACCACTACACTCCTTTGCCATGCTTTCGGCGTAGTTCCTTCGAGAATGACGGAATTGAATAGTTTCTGGAGGACTAAAAGTATCGGTTTTCCACCCGCTCGCAGAAGTTCTATTGTGATTCCGTCATCACCCGGTGCCTTGTTATTTTTGAGCTGTCTGAGAGCCATCCTAATCTCGTACAGGCTGATGTCTGGGATATCCTCGGTGTAGTGACGTGTCAGTTTAGCTCTTGGATCCCGAGCTGTACCGACAATGGGTTGCCGTGTCGAGGTGTATAACTGTCCGTAGAACCTTTCAAGCTCTCTCAGAATCTCTGGCTTCGACGAAACGATGCTGCCATTTTCGGTCTTCAGTTTCGTCATTTGGCTTTGCCCAACAGACGAATTCCTTGCGAATACTTTTGCACCCTGATTTCGCTCTATGGCATCCCTGACTCGTGCGGCGTTATATGCACGCAGGTCGCGTCGCATAGACTTTGAAATTCGCCTATTAAGTTTGCCATATCCAGACATGTCAACTGAAGACTGCAGCCTCATCTCGTGTCGGTCTTTCAATAATTTAAGTGTTTCTTTCGAGAGCTTTTGAGGTCTATTTCGGCGTGGGTTTTTGAAAAACTCTGAACCCACCGCTTGGACAGTTTCCACTAACCCATTATTTAACTCGTCAATCGTTTCACACTCAGCCAGGCACTGGAAGCGATTATGCAGTTGGAGCTGGAACTGTTCGGGGTTTTGGACCTGGGCGCGACCAGGACGGAGTGTGGACCTCACCAGGCGTGACCTCTCCAGCTTGACATTGATATTCAGTGTGCCTCTGACAATACGGTGATCGCTGCCGGTTTTCACCTTAGCTATCACAGAGACATCACTGAATATGCGCTTGTCGGTCGCCATGATGAAGTCGATCTCATTTTTGGTGTAACCATCGGGACTTATCCACGTCCACCTCTTAGCTGGTCACTTTCGGAAGAAGGAGTTCATTAGAAAGAGTCTCTCCCTCTCCATAAAGTGGACCAGCCGCTGGCCCCGACGGTTTCGCTGCCCATACCCAAATGGCCCCATTCTCAGCTCTTCGCCGTTCCGTGTGCCCACCTTCGCGTTGAAATCCCCCATGACAACGGTGAAGTGAGCTTCGGAGGTGTGTATGGCTTGGGAAATTTCCTCATACAGAGCCTCTACTTCATCATCGCAGTGTGTCGAGGTCGGCGCATATACCTGTATGACCTTCAGCGAATACCGGTGTGATATTCTGAGTATAAGGTACGCTACCCTGCTCGACACACTGTCAACTTTACTCACGTTGTTGACGAGGGACTTGCGGACGAGAAATCCGACACCACCCTGGGATTTTCGGTCTCCTTCCCGGAAGAAGAGCAAGTTGCCGGAATCCAGGACCATCGTATCCTGGCCCTCTCTTCGGATTTCAGACAGTCCCAAGATGTCCCAACGCATTTTGCTCAACTCTTCCTCCAGCTCGACAATCTTCTCATCGGTCCGCAGAGTGCGGATGTTATGTGTTGCCAGGGCCAAAGTTCGTCGGGGGTGGTAGCGGTTCATCTGCCGGGAATTCTTAGCACCCCCTGCTCCGCCGTTACCCGATCCGCTACCAAGATCAGGAATAGCGGAGCTGCCGGGGACTGGGGGCCGTGTATTTAGGTTGCCGTTCATAGTGAGGGGGGTTTGCCATAATCCCCACGCTTGGCAGGCGGCTTGCGGATCGCAGTTAGGTCACCGATATATTTATGGAATGCTGCAGCCCATTCCTCGGTGTCTGGTCGCAGTTTTAAGACGTACCCGGGTCTAGGAAGTACCCGGATACATTATCACACCATAACTACTACCAATAACAAACTAGTATAGCTTTTCTCAGTATATTCACAGGAGTAACCCGCGATTTTTAGTTCATTTTGTATGTCTCACAATAGTTATTATAAAAAACACACCTGTCAACTATTCAAATTCAATGCTTGTTTCGAACTATCAAGAATTTTATACGACATTGTGTATTGTGATGTCAACTTTCTTTTTTAGCGTTTAAGAGTACACGTTATTGTTAAAAATTTGCTGGAAAAAAAATTAAAATGAAGTTGACCATGAAATCAATTAATGAAACAGTCATTATTTTTTAAATATTATATTATATTGAACAGTCCAAATAATTTATTTTTAAATAACAAAAATACTAATATCAGTATAGCAATATTTTTATATATTTACTGGACTGACATTTGCCTACTATCTCGCCTATTGTGCAATTCCCCCGCATACTCACTGAAATGTATCCATTAGGAAACCGAAAGGCCTGACTACCTATATACCTATACTAGCGGACCCAACAGACGTTGTCCTGCATATCCACTTGAATGTATAAACAAAAATTCATTCAAATTAGTTCAGCTGTTTAGGATAAATAACCTAAACATCGACTGCAACGTCATCTGCCGGGCTGATTTGTGAATCTAAACCATTCCCAGATCCCCTTGAACACACACAAAAAATTTCATCAAAATCGGTCCAGTCGTTTGAGAGAAGTTCGGTGACATACACACTCACAGAAGAATTATATATATAAAGATTGATTGACTATGCTGTTTCCACCTCGTTTGGTAGAAACTGTATACTCACATAGATCGAGCGGCAAGGACTGCAGCGAGCCTCCGTCCCACGTACTGATGCTGGTCGGTGATATCTGGGACGTCATACCTGGGGGGGTACACACACATTATTAGGTCAAGTTTATAATCTTAAACATCCAAATAATACAATTAGCACCATCTAGTTTTTCTTTGGGAAGTTAACACTAGAAAGATCGAGAATCGAAATAACCCAGCGGCAGGTCTAAGTATATTATTATTTTATTTTTTAATTATTAAAATACAATAAATACAAGTCAAAAATTTTCACGTATGTACCTAACTTTAAAAATAAAAAATATATGGATTATCAAACTACTTGCAAATGAGACAAAATTCGGACGATTCTCCGTTTCCTTGTCTTTGCATCGTATACATGACATGGCGCGGAAATATGCTTTTTAAGTTTCTATAATGAATTACGTATAAAAAGTGTCCATCTTTTGTTTAAATCAAAACCAACCACTTCAACAGCAATATCGTATATTATTATATTATATTATGAATATCTGGGATATGAATGAGGCCGTCGTTAGAGGGCGCCCTAGACGGACATGTATCGGCCAGATTGGCAATATCTTATATTTTATTATATAAAGCGGAAGAGTTTGTTTTTTGTTTGTTTGTTTGAACGCGCTAATCTCCGTAACTACAAGTCTGATTTGAATAATTCTTTTTGTGTTGGATAGTGTATTTATCGAGGATGGCTATAGGCTATAAAACATCACGCTACGGCGTGAGTAAAGCGTGTGAAACCGCGCGAGAGTAGGTAGTATGAATATATACGTACTGATGGTGTCGTCGCAGTGCGAGGCGGTCGAGGAGCTGGAGTTGTTGGGCGCGTCGTGCGCCGCGCGAGAGTAGGTAGTATGAATATATACGTACTGATGGTGTCGTCGCAGTGCGAGGCGGTCGAGGAGCTGGAGTTGTTGGGCGCGTCGTGCGCGAGAGTAGGTAGTATGAATATATACGTACTGATGGTGTCGTCGCAGTGCGAGGCGGTCGAGGAGCTGGAGTTGTTGGGCGCGTCGTGCGCCGCGCGAGAGTAGGTAGTATGAATATATACGTACTGATGGTGTCGTCGCAGTGCGAGGCGGTCGAGGAGCTGGAGTTGTTGGGCGCGTCGTGCGCCGCGCGAGAGTAGGTAGTATGAATATATACGTACTGATGGTGTCGTCGCAGTGCGAGGCGGTCGAGGAGCTGGAGTTGTTGGGCGCGTCGTGCGCGAGAGTAGTAGTATGAAATATACGTACTGATGGTGTCGTCGCAGTGCGAGGGCGGTCGAGGAGCTGGAGTTGTTGGGCGCGTCGTGCGCGAGAGTAGGTAGTATGAATATATACGTACTGATGGTGTCGTCGCAGTGCGAGGCGGTCGAGGAGCTGGAGTTGTTGGGCGCGTCGTGCGCGAGAGTAGGTAGTATGAATATATACGTACTGATGGTGTCGTCGCAGTGCGAGGCGGTCGAGGAGCTGGAGTTGTTGGGCGCGTCGTGCGCCGCGCGAGAGTAGGTAGTATGAATATATACGTACTGATGGTGTCGTCGCAGTGCGAGGCGGTCGAGGAGCTGGAGTTGTTGGGCGCGTCGTGCGCCGCGCGAGAGTAGGTAGTATGAATAATATACGTATGATGGTGTCGTCGCAGTGCGAGGCGGTCGAGGAGCTGGAGTTGTTGGGCGCGTCGTGCGCGAGAGTAGGTAGTATGAATATATACGTACTGATGGTGTCGTCGCAGTGCGAGGCGGTCGAGGAGCTGGAGTTGTTGGGCGCGTCGTGCGCGAGAGTAGGTAGTATGATAATATACGTACTGATGGTGTCGTCGCAGTGCGAGGCGGTCGAGGAGCTGGAGTTGTTGGGCGCGTCGTGCGCGAGAGTAGGTAGTATGAATATATACGTACTGATGGTGTCGTCGCAGTGCGAGGCGGTCGAGGAGCTGGAGTTGTTGGGCGCGTCGTGCGCCGGCCGAGAGTAGGTAGTATGAATATATACGTACTGATGGTGTCGTCGCAGTGCGAGGCGGTCGAGGAGCTGGAGTTGTTGGGCGCGTCGTGCGCCGCGCGAGAGTAGGTAGTATGAATATATACGTACTGATGGTGTCGTCGCAGTGCGAGGCGTTCGAGGAGCTGGAGTTGTTGGGCGCGTCGTGCGCGAGAGTAGGTAGTATGAATATACGTACTGATGGTGTCGTCGCAGTGCGAGGCGGTCGAGGAGCTGGAGTTGTTGGGCGCGTCGTGCGCCGCGCGAGAGTAGGTAGTATGAATATATACGTACTGATGGTGTCGTCGCAGTGCGAGGCGGTCGAGGAGCTGGAGTTGTTGGGCGCGTCGTGCGCCGCGCGAGAGTAGGTAGTATGAATATATACGTACTGATGGTGTCGTCGCAGTGCGAGGCGGTCGAGGAGCTGGAGTTGTTGGGCGCGTCGTGCGCCGCGCGAGAGTAGGTAGTATGAATATATACGTACTGATGGTGTCGTCGCAGTGCGAGGCGGTCGAGGAGCTGAGTTGTTGGGCGCGTCGTGCGCGAGAGTAGGTAGTATGAATATATACGTACTGATGGTGTCGTCGCAGTGCGAGGCGGTCGAGGAGCTGGAGTTGTTGGGCGCGTCGTGCGCGAGAGTAGGTAGTATGAATATATACGTACTGATGGTGTCGTCGCAGTGCGAGGCGGTCGAGGAGCTGGAGTTGTTGGGCGCGTCGTGCGCCGCGCGAGAGTAGGTAGTATGAATATATACGTACTGATGGTGTCGTCGCAGTGCGAGGCGGTCGAGGAGCTGGAGTTGTTGGCGCGTCGTGCGCGAGAGTAGGTAGTATGAATATATACGTACTGATGGTGTCGTCGCAGTGCGAGGCGGTCGAGGAGCTGGAGTTGTTGGGCGCGTCGTGCGCCGCGCGAGAGTAGGTAGTATGAATATATACGTACTGATGGTGTCGTCGCAGTGCGAGGCGGTCGAGGAGCTGGAGTTGTTGGGCGCGTCGTGCGCCGCGCGAGAGTAGGTAGTATGAATATATACGTACTGATGGTGTCGTCGCAGTGCGAGGCGGTCGAGGAGCTGGAGTTGTTGGGCGCGTCGTGCGCCGCGCGAGAGTAGGTAGTATGAATATATACGTACTGATGGTGTCGTCGCAGTGCGAGGCGGTCGAGGAGCTGGAGTTGTTGGGCGCGTCGTGCGCGAGAGTAGGTAGTATGAATATATACGTACTGATGGTGTCGTCGCAGTGCGAGGCGGTCGAGGAGCTGGAGTTGTTGGGCGCGTCGTGCGCCGCGCGAGAGTAGGTAGTATGAATATATACGTACTGATGGTGTCGTCGCAGTGCGAGGCGGTCGAGGAGCTGGAGTTGTTGGGCGCGTCGTGCGCCGCGCGAGAGTAGGTAGTATGAATATATACGTACTGATGGTGTCGTCGCAGTGCGAGGCGGTCGAGGAGCTGGAGTTGTTGGGCGCGTCGTGCGCGAGAGTAGGTAGTATGAATATATACGTACTGATGGTGTCGTCGCAGTGCGAGGCGGTCGAGGAGCTGGAGTTGTTGGGCGCGTCGTGCGCGAGAGTAGGTAGTATGAATATATACGTACTGATGGTGTCGTCGCAGTGCGAGGCGGTCGAGGAGCTGGAGTTGTTGGGCGCGTCGTGCGCGAGAGTAGGTAGTATGAATATATACGTACTGATGGTGTCGTCGCAGTGCGAGGCGGTCGAGGAGCTGGAGTTGTTGGGCGCGTCGTGCGCGAGAGTAGGTAGTATGAATATATACGTACTGATGGTGTCGTCGCAGTGCGAGGCGGTCGAGGAGCTGGAGTTGTTGGGCGCGTCGTGCGCCGCGCGAGAGTAGGTAGTATGAATATATACGTACTGATGGTGTCGTCGCAGTGCGAGGCGGTCGAGGAGCTGGAGTTGTTGGGCGCGTCGTGCGCGAGAGTAGGTAGTATGAATATATACGTACTGATGGTGTCGTCGCAGTGCGAGGCGGTCGAGGAGCTGGAGTTGTTGGGCGCGTCGTGCGCGAGAGTAGGTAGTATGAATATATACGTACTGATGGTGTCGTCGCAGTGCGAGGCGGTCGAGGAGCTGGAGTTGTTGGGCGCGTCGTGCGCCGCGCGAGAGTAGGTAGTATGAATATATACGTACTGATGGTGTCGTCGCAGTGCGAGGCGGTCGAGGAGCTGGAGTTGTTGGGCGCGTCGTGCGCCGCGCGAGAGTAGGTAGTATGAATATATACGTACTGATGGTGTCGTCGCAGTGCGAGGCGGTCGAGGAGCTGGAGTTGTTGGGCGCGTCGTGCGCGAGAGTAGGTAGTATGAATATATACGTACTGATGGTGTCGTCGCAGTGCGAGGCGGTCGAGGAGCTGGAGTTGTTGGGCGCGTCGTGCGCCGCGCGAGAGTAGGTAGTATGAATATATACGTACTGATGGTGTCGTCGCAGTGCGAGGCGGTCGAGGAGCTGGAGTTGTTGGGCGCGTCGTGCGCCGCGCGAGAGTAGGTAGTATGAATATATACGTACTGATGGTGTCGTCGCAGTGCGAGGCGGTCGAGGAGCTGGAGTTGTTGGGCGCGTCGTCGTGCGCGAGAGTAGGTAGTATGAATATATACGTACTGATGGTGTCGTCGCAGTGCGAGGCGGTCGAGGAGCTGGAGTTGTTGGGCGCGTCGTGCGCGAGAGTAGGTAGTATGAATATATACGTACTGATGGTGTCGTCGCAGTGCGAGGCGGTCGAGGAGCTGGAGTTGTTGGGCGCGTCGTGCGCCGCGCGAGAGTAGGTAGTATGAATATATACGTACTGATGGTGTCGTCGCAGTGCGAGGCGGTCGAGGAGCTGGAGTTGTTGGGCGCGTCGTGCGCCGCGCGAGAGTAGGTAGTATGAATATATACGTACTGATGGTGTCGTCGCAGTGCGAGGCGGTCGAGGAGCTGGAGTTGTTGGGCGCGTCGTGCGCCGCGCGAGAGTAGGTAGTATGAATATATACGTACTGATGGTGTCGTCGCAGTGCGAGGCGGTCGAGGAGCTGGAGTTGTTGGGCGCGTCGTGCGCGCGCGAGAGTAGGTAGTATGAATATATACGTACTGATGGTGTCGTCGCAGT